GGGGTGGTTTCGCAACCAAATACACGTTTATATAGCGAGCCGCTTGCTCCAAGCAGACACCCGCTTGCAGCCGCACCTACTGGTGAACAGACGCTGCAGACTTCAGTGAGCCCTTAAACCGAATAAGTCAGAGTGGCCCCACCGAAGCTCCCTCTCTTTCTGCCGTGACCCAAGGCTCCACTCGGATTGGTTACCGCATCTCGCACATGGGTTGCTCACGTTGCCAGGAGTGCGCGAACGAGGACGCAAGAGTCGGGATTGAGTATAGCCATGCAACTGTAACTGCATACCCAGCGCAATGACTATACCCCATTGCACTCCAGTACAGTAGATACAGAGCAAGTTAAATAAAAGCTTGTAAAAACATAATTTTTTTTTCCTTTACAATATCAGATTGAGGCCTGCATAGCCAAAATTTCAATGTAACAACGAAAAATATTTCAATTTAACAATGAAAACTATGATTTAGATAAGATGATTAATGGGGAAAAATAAATACATACCCGAAAGTTTCACGTTGATGTCTAAATAGCATCGTTCTGATGAGACCTTTTTTTGAGTGCATGAACACCATTTGAATGCTAAATGACTTTCGGGGGAGTGCATTGATCGTTGAATCACACGAAAGAGTGAATTCTCTTTAAACATATTCATTTGTCATTGCCCCAGAGAAGAAAACTAAACGCAAAAGGTCCAAAAATCCCGTGTTATTTACATGGGAAAAGTAACTTGATTTCAGCGCGATTTAATTTTTAAAGTATACGCTTTTTGGATTGTACAATTTATTTTAGAGCAAAAACTACAACTTGGGAAAGAACGGTCACCCTTACATAAATACATACATGCATATGTGAAGACCTTCCAAACCAAAGTACCCGAAGTCTTACCGAAATCATTAAGAGTAGCTGAAGTGTATTCGAAATTCTTTAACGATTTTGTTGAGAAGCTTCAAGGAAATCATATGAAAAGGTTGGCACGAACTCGTGAAGAGATTTCTGTACGATTTCTTAATGAAACGTCTGAAAATAATTCTTCACATCGCAGCATTACTTTCGTTTCTATACGGATTTTCTTCAGAAATTTCGAATTGAAAAATGAGGCAACCTCCGGATAAGGAAATAGTGATTTATCTATGAATTCTTTAAGATTTATCTGAAGGTATGATAATATGATATGATAGATCATAAACCATATATGTATATGTATGTACATACGTACATATATTTTTTCTGAACAGAGGGTGCGAATTAGCTATCTAGCCAGCTCAATATAAAAGCACACTTTTCCTACCGAACATATTGAATTTTACACTTGAATTTTTCTTCGTTGATGCTGTTGGTGATGTTCCGCACAAGGACTCAGCAGGGCGGCGACGTTTATTATAATATGATATTGAGGAGCTTCGCTTGGCTGCCTGCTGCTGCTTGTTATCCTTAGCATCGCTTCCAACTGCTTCTGCATACTTTTCAGCTGCAATTACAATTACCGTTATAAAGCGAACGTTGACTTAACAATAAATGCTTCCCTTCCCGCACAGTTTGTGTCAATAAAAATTACTTTAACATTTTAGCACTAGCTTCTGTTACAGACAATTTTTGACGATACCTGGGAAATCGGCACAACTTTATATAAAATAGATGAATTGTGAAATTATGGAGCAAATGTGCAGCTGATAGCGGCGGTATTTGGTTGCTCGGTGTACAGTGAAGGGCTGTAGGATCGCACTAAATACCCAGTACCGCATGCCGTCAATATTATTAAAAATGTTCTCACCCGTTGCGTGAGTACTGAAGGTGTTCCATTGAACACCAGCAAAAAGTGTCATAACGCGCAACGAAGGTATAGCGTTTAACACCAAAAGTAATAATAAACGAAGACAACAAAATTGGTTAATTGTTGGGCAACAAAAGTGGAGGGTGGATATTCGAACAAATGTAAATAGCTTGATATGGTTGGTTACTCACAAGCACTTACCTGCTCAAGAGCTAGAACGCGGGATACATGTATTTTGTGCGTGAAATTTAAAGAGTTGTCGAAGCCAGAACACAGTAAAGTAGTAAAAGATCAACAGGGCAAATATAGAATAATGCCAAATTCCTAAGTAGCTAGAAAAATTGATACAAAATTGCAAACACACGTATCGAGCCCTATTTATTTGCGATTATATCGTAAGCGAAAATGTATTGAAATTTTTTTGTTGCACATTTGTAGGTAATAAATACTACTGAGTTATAACCAGGGTCGCAATTTTTTGCTTATTCAGGGTTTCCAAGCTTAATTTTAACGATCGAACTTATTTTGCTAATTTCAATGTATGTACATATAAAGCTAAGTACGCACCTCTTAAGAAAACGGTCAAGAAAAAAATTGCTACATTTCGTGTGTGTGAATAATAGTGTCCAAGGAATTGTTACATTTTATATTTCATAGCCTGCTGTCTCAGTTTTTTCTTATGAAATAATGGAACGGGCATATGTGTATTTAAAACAAGGGGGCCTTGTGCTCTTGCTTCACAAACAAACTTTAGAAACCCATAGTAGCGAATTTCTTATGAACTCCGTACTGCTTAACAATAAACTTTTCTTGAGCATTTCTTATGCGGTTTTTCTATTCATCGATTTAGAGAAATGTTTACAAATAATAACTTAAAAACAGATTTGGCGTGTATTAACTCGGTAACTTCAACTGCAAAAACGAAATAAAATAACATATATTTAGTAGTTCCATTGTCGTTGTTTTTGGTGTTGGTTGTTTGGAAATTAAACAGACATTTGCAAGATAATTTGTAGATAATCTATGTAGTAGATGCACCAAGCAATTAAAGTTTATTTTTAGTTTGTTCTGCTCAATGGCAGTGTACATATTTTGCCAATATTTTGATCGATCAATTGCCTCTCAGGGCGACCGATGTTGCGTAGTGCGCGCTACCACCCTGCATGGCCTGGGTTTAAGCCCTGGTCAAAGCAGCATCGCAAAAAAATATAGAAAAACTATTTTTCTTAACAGCGCTCGCCCCTCGGCAGGCAATGGCAAAGCTCCGAGTGTATTACTGCCGTAAAAAACAGCTTCTCATAAAAATACAATCGTCGTTCGGATTCGGCGTAAAACTGTTGGTCCCTCTCCTTTGTGTAACAATATCAATGCGCACGCCACAAATCGGAGGAGAAGCTCGGCGACCCGCTTGTTATGCCTTTAATAATAACATTTTGGAGGGGCCCACAGTTTAACGCCGCTTCCAACCGGCTAGTTATTTTTATGAGAAGCCTTTTCAAGGGAGAAATACCTTCGGAGGTTTTCCATTGCTTGCCAAGGAGCAATCGTTGTTAGAAAAAAACGGGTTTCTAGTTAGATGTTCATCTGACCAGGGACCATTTAAATCCCAATAAATTATTTCACTGTTTAAGGGAGAAATAAAAAATGCCGAAAATAGAGCTCGATAGATACATTGGTGATACGTACATAAATATGCATTAAGAATTTTTAACGAGGATATAACCATGCAGGAAATAATTAACTAAGTTTTTTTTTTTAATTCTTTAATATCAAATAGATCATCGTGCACTGAGGAAGACATCAAGGAAGCATTCACCACCAACAACTTTGAAGTTAAGGCATTCAAATTTTTCCCGTAAGTACTCAAAAATAATTTTTCCCTCATTTTGTAATAGCTGCTTTTTTTTGTGAAAACGGTACATTGAAAAAAACATGTCTTCTAATACTATCTCGGTAGTACAAAAACAAAGTTATACCTGTAGCATTTGATAGCACCGTGCAACAGTGAATTTTACACACGAAAAAATCAATATATTACAAAACTGCAGGTCAACTATAGTAAAACTGCATTTTTAGTTTTTCACTCTGATGTCAGGATTGTTTTAAAAGGACTTTGGAATTTTTAGAATATGATTGAATAAAAAAATTATTCAAAAGATTCAGTGCATTGTAGAATACACTGAAAATAAAATTTCGTAAAAGTCTTGGTTTTTGTACAATGTACGAAACTTTCGTTCATAATACGAACACATTTTTCAAAACGAAACAAGATTTTACGAACCATTCGTAAATATAACGAAAGGACTTTCGTAAAGCCTTTTTTCAGTACAATTTACGAAATTTTTCGTTTATTTTACGAAACACATTCGTAAATTACGGAAAAAATCTCTGTACGAATAATTTTGTATATTGTACGAAGGCATTCGTAATATTTACGTATGGTTTTAAAATTTACGGAATCTACAATTCTGTATTCGTACAATTTACTTAATACTTTCGTACATAGAACAAATGCAGAAACATTTGTTCCAAATTCGTTCAACAGACGAATATTTTCGTACAATATACTAAATTACCGTCAGTTTAATATTTCACCATATTTTTATGTACTGCGTGTCATTGCTGCCAACTACTGATTGGCTACTGTGAGACGTATAATATAATTCTAAAAGCTTTAAGCAGCTTTTGCTGGATAAAAATACAATAAAAAATTATATGTTAAAGCTGTGGATAAATGCTTTTAAGCATACTCTGCAATGTGGGACTTCATAAATAGGTAATTTCATCAGTTAGCTATCAACGGCAAGCCCAAGCCAGGAACAGACGCACTACTTAGTGAAATTTTAAGTAAGTACATGTATGATTTTTCACTGAAACTTGCCTTTCAGACGCCTTATAATTTTCTTTTAATTTATAGTCGAGAAAGGAAACAAACATTTAAGCAGCTGCGAATCTGCCAACCATCTCCACATAAAAAAATTGCTAAACATTTTGTTAAAGAAAAATGCTTAAAATTAGGAATAAAAGCAAAGTAAAAGAGTTGTATTATAATTCGTCTTATGTTTTTTACAGGGTGGTGAATGAAAGCAATCGGAAGTTCTACGAAACAACCGCAGTTTTTAGGAAAATAATTTCGTTAAATATACTATTTTGTGCATTTTACAAAAATTTCGTAGAAAATAAAGAAATAGTACAAAATTCTTTATTAAGTAGTACGAAATTCGTTCGTTAATAGTACAAATACGTTCGTAAAATGTACTAAGATCTGATGTCTCATATTTTCGTAGTATGTAGGAAAACGGTTTTGTACAATCAACGAAAACTTTCGTGGCTGATAATGACGAAAACTTTCGTAAAACGTACGCAAGTTTTCGCTATATTTACGCAGATTTTATTTTCAGTGTAACAATATGAGTGCTGTACAGTATAATGATTCCAATATCTTCATTTATGTATATTGTAACTATCAATATCTTATAAGAGAAGTGTAAATTTTTTTTATCTGAAACTAATAAAGGTAGGAAATTTCAAAGTCCTTTAAAAAAATCCTGAATTTAGAGAGAAAAATTAAAAACGACTTTTACTATATTTGGCTCCTAGTTTTGTGAATATATTGATTTTTTCGTGTGTTTTAATCATTTTTGGTTTTTGTCGCACGGTGTAGTAATTTCTTATGTAAAAGCTTCGCCCTGATTGCGAATACGAAAGCAAATAATAAAGAAGTAAAGCAGTATTCTAAATAGATTTAACAATATGTCCTAATCGGCTAACTTTATCGGGAGTTATTTTGCACAAAATATGTAGTTGCAAATATGTGCAAATTGATGACCATTTTTGAATATATCTCTCAAATCATCTCAATATCGACGGCTGAGTGGAAGATGGACCTATATCAGCAGCCGATTCGAAAACACCCTATCTCAGAAATTTTTTTCAAAAATACCCTATTTCAGAATTTGCGTGAAAAACGCCTATCTCAAAAATTCGTTTGAGAACACCCTATTTCAGCCGCCGATTCAAAAATGCCCTATATCAGCATATATAATATATCTTCCGTTGCACAACATTCTGAGGTTTGGCGTTCCTTAATCAAATTCTGAAGTAGGACGTTCTTGAGTCATTTTCTGAGATAGGGCGTTTTTGAGTAGGCTGCCGAGTCAGTTCCACTCAGCCGTCGATATGACAGTAAGTACTTATGTAGAACATTGTATTTCGCATCTCTTGAAAAGAGATCTTCAGTAAGTACTGTATTAAGAATAGTATATGATTATATTAATATTTTTAAATGCTGATTTTTAATTAAAATACTTTTTTATCCATCCAATTTGCAGCAAGGACCGCAAAATGGCGCTACTCCAGCTCTCATCGGTGGAAGATGCCGTTTTGGCGCTCATCAAAATGCACAATCATCAGCTATCGGAGTCGAACCACTTGCGCGTCAGTTTCTCCAAGTCGAATATCTAAGCCGCAGCTACTTTGTTAATATAAAAATAATTTTAGCTGCAATACTGAGGAACTGAGGAAATCATTACATTATCAGCAGAAAAATAAATAAGAACAGTAGATTTTCAGCAGCAGCAGAAATCAATGGAGACCCTTAACTCAAGCTACATACATACAATAGTCATTTCGCAATGAATCCAAGAACGACCGCAGAAAAATCGTAAAAGTCAGCAAACAAATAGCAAATAGCAACAACAAATAAAGAACAAGGAATCAGCAAGGATAATTACATAACCTAAACCCAATTTTACCACTCCAGAAGAAAATGAACAACAAAAAAATTTGTAGTATACAGATTTTACTAAACTTTAGACTCAACAACAATCAACAACAACTATCTCTACACAGCCTAACTGATAGATGAATTGATATTTACATGTTTTGTCGCTCACTATATCTTTTTTAACATTATTATTATTCAGGAAATTATTGCTACCATTTGTAATCATTCTTTTAATTGAATTAGTGATAATCTCTCAACATACTTTATATACACACATACATACGTATATAGATAAAATCCGAAGAAAATATTTTTTTGAAGAAATTTTTCGCAAACTAAAAATGCATACAAAAAATTGCACACAAATTTCAAAAACCCAATAAACTACCCACCCACCATTTTAAACTACCATAAACCATAGTATGTAAAACTACAATTGCAGAAATAATAGCTTTGGTGTAATTTAAAAAAAAAAAATCACATTTAAAGAATATCATATGTATTGTATAGTATATTTTATGTAAGCGCAGCAGAAATTCAAATTCAGATTAAATAAAAAATAACTTATAATAAATATGTATTGTATGTATGAGCTGAATTTAGATGAGAAGTCGCAGTTATGTAAAAGAGAAGGTGTTTAAGTAAATAACGGATAATGAATCAGATATTCGCAAAATGCAAGAGTAAAATTCAAAGCAAATTTAAAAATTATACAAATGCAAATTTATTGTACTCTTTTTTTATTAGTATAGGAGGTACAAGATATGAAGAAGGTGAAATGAAAACTTAAGTAGATACATACATAAATATATGTTCAATGCGATAAAATATTTTAGAAAGCTGTGTTTCGTAAAAAAAATACACAACATATGTATAAGTAAAGAAACTGCAACTGACTAAGTGACAAAACACGAGATAATTAAAAAGAATTAACATATGAACTAACTGGTAGAGAGAGAGGGAGTTCCCAGACTAGGAATACAATTTGGCTGGTTTATGTCTTTGCTGATAAATGTTATTACTAAAATTCTTATTACATACACTTAGAACAAACATAAATTATATACTTATACAATATGAAATATTTAATTATAGACAAAGTGAAAGTTAAATATTATTGAACAAAAGATGCATACATTTAATTATTTAATAAGAATACCATTGCCGTAAGCGTCGAAAGTTGAAGGAAATTTACTAAGAAATGCGTGAAATACATACAAACACAGATGCGCATGCAAAAGCGTCATACATACATACATTCACCCATACAAATGTACATCAAAGGAAAACAAGGAATCCTAAGTAAAAAATGTAATAAACCAGTAGCAACAAGGAATTACAGCAAAGTAAAGTAAAACATAAATAAAAAGTGCATGTTTTTAAGTATGTAAGTACGTATGTGTGTTTAATATACATGCATATGATAATCAGCTGATGCCAGCACACATACACACATAGGGATGTATGCAACTGAGTTTACAAGTTTAACTTTAAGAAAAATTCCATATTTAAAAACAAAAATTACAAAAATATATCTGATTGGAAGTTTCGATGTTCCTCTGCAATAACGACACAACTCAACACTCAAAAAAAAAAATCTCTTACAACTGCTAAGGACCTCATATGTCTAATCCTTGTCAAATCCATGTCTAATTCTTACTAATTACATTACTACTTACTTTAGTGGGAATAGAGACATGAGCCACTTAACAGTAGTGAAGTTTTTTTTTTAGTTTTGCGTTGTGTTATTGCAGAGGACCATGGAAACGAAAAAATAATAATATTCAAAACATTAATGGTCTTATTCATAACAAATATAGTAGGTTTAAGGATCTATATAAAATGACGTTTTCATAAATTTTTCAGTTTATAAACCTTTTTTAAAGCTACTTTTTTTATGAATAAGGCCATAAAAATACAAAAACATTTTAAAGTGATGATTTTATTTCATACAAAATACATACATACATTAACTTGAAGTTGCTGCATTTTTAGTATTATTCATTATAAAATCAAAAAAAAAGAACTAAAAATCGAATCTTAGAACAGAAATTTAAAAACAGCAACAGCAGCAAAAGTGGAAAATTTATACAAGCATAAGAAAAGTGAAGTAAAATATTAAAATATAAACAAATTTATATGCATAAATAAGCAAATGAACAGAACAAGTACCGATCAGTATATATTATATTATATACATACATACATGCGTACAAGAAGTGTGGAATGTATTTTTATGCAAATCAATCAAAAACAAGTTTGTTCGTTTTATTAGTAAACCTAGAATAAGAAGAAAAAGCCAATAAAAAACAAACTGAAACAGATTTACTCTTATGAAAAGTGCAGTGCTGATTTGAATATAAAAGAGCTTTAGGAGGGAAGCTGAAAGTGAAGCGGTGGACTGAGTTATGCGACAGTGAAGTGAGGAAAGTGTTAGCAAAATTATTTGATTTTTTTTTTTTTGAAAATACTGTTTTTTGTATTTGAAAAGTCCCACAAAAAGCTCGCAGTGATAAGTTCACAGCCGTCGGTGTCGGTTAAGAGCGCCTATACGTTTGAAAATCCGAAGTTGAAGGACACAATGGTATATAAACGTTTTGTTGTAGAGTGCAATTTAAAATATAAATTTAGGCCCCTGGCTGGCTAACTATGAGTATTTCCAATGTAGCTAGCAGTATATATATTTAGTGTGCAGATACTGATCCCTATTTACTTACCATGTTTCTAGCTGTATGGAAAGGCAGACGAAGCAAATTTGAAGCCAACTAAATATTTATCGAATCATTGATAGTATATACATACATGACGTCATTTTAGATTGAAACGTAGACCAAGGGGTTATTAGTTTAGAATCTCAACAATTGCAGCTTCATTTCTTTGGACAAAAACATTTAAAATTCATTTAAATCATATTTATTTCGTAAAACATTTGGGGCGTTTTTAGCTAAAATCTTCATACATTCGCACTTTTAAATAAGACAATCGACTTTAATTCATTTGATTATAAGATAATTGCTGTTTACTCCTACATTTGTGGATATATTTATAGGGTATGTAAAGCATAGATTGCCGTTCCCTTAAAATCGCAATGTTCTATATCTTTTAAATCGTTAGTGGCATCTAGAAATTTATTCAAGAGTAATTTACATAAAGACAATGGGAATACAGCTGTTGGGCGTACCTTTCATTTTAAAATGCCAGCGAGCAAACTAATTGAATTCTCCAAGAACACGCTTTATGGTAAACAAAAAATGTGTTGCTATGTAATCGCAAGCTTAAAGCTTAAGAAGAAAAGGTAAACAAACAGCAGCCGGTACTCAACGACTATTCGAAAAGCAGAAATCAGCATAAAACTAACAGACACACAAACAGGATTAAACGTAACTGTAAAACTAATTACATACGCGTACATATGTACATGTATGTATGTATTCATCAATAGCATCGCCAATCAGCTCAATTAAATTCACTTAAAAGTGAGCAAGAATTAGGGAATATCTTAAAAAGAATCATAAAAATCATAAGCCAAGAGAAGGAGGAGGATCATACGAGCTGTGCTTTTGGAAAGATGTATGTGCATACGTGGCTAGCTGGGGCACACATACATAGTAGTATGTAACTAAGGCACTGCAAGTACCAACATGGAAATCAAACTGGAAATTGGTCTTTACTGGTGTTCAGCAGAAAACTACGATATACATGCGTATGTTGCAGAAAATGCATATGTATTAAAACAAAAATTAGTTATTATAGACAACCGAAAAGTGTGAATATATACATATGTATATCATAAATTGAATTTCAAAATATAATAGGAAAACATTAACTTTTGAGTGTATTTGTAGTTAAATTAAAAAAAAAGAATTGTAATTAGACAAGAAGAAACAAGAACACAAAATTTAATAATACTTAGTATACAATATTATACATATACATACTACATACTAACAATAAGTGAAAAAGTGAATGTATTAAAATTTATTAACGTATATACATACATACATACATATATGTACATAGATATAGTTGTATGAAACCGCATTGAAGTATGCGAAAATACTGAAATATTAAATTGCGGCGTTTTTTTGTTGAATAACTGCGAACAAAATAGATTTTATTGTAACTCGAGGTTATAAAAAAAGTATAAAAGAGTGCATACAAATTTACACATAAACACCAACACACACTCTCAATAATAACAAAGACCTGAGCCAGGGTTAAATCGCATATTTTAATGCTTTAACCGATTTTGTCTAAAATTTAATGAGTTGCATATGTCCACATATTGCTGTCTTATTCATTTTGATCTACAAGTTACTCAGAGTGAATTTGAGAAACATACATATATGCATTCTACGAGCCAAAAATGGCAGAAACTAATGATTTGTTTTTTTTCTCGATAAAACTTGGGATGAGACGCAAATTTCTAGTTCTGGTTTTAAATTTGAATTGTTTATCAGCACCATTTAATAGCAACTATCAAAGACAAACACATCACCACAGACCAACCAACCGACCCCACTGCAAACAATCTTTTTCACACAAAGCTGAACAGGGTTGTTAATATACATACATATATAAAACTACTGAAGAACAATCGTTGAACACAAATCATTTTAACTAAGTAACCTAAAAGCTAAAATAAAACAAAATAAAAACAATGCAAAAACAAAAATGTATTGATGCATATACTAAGAAAGGAGTTTAAAATTAAACAGGAATTATAAAACTAGTATAAAATATTTGAAAAAAAAAAATTATACACACATACATGCATACATAAATGCATACAAACATATATTTAAAAACATAGAATATCGTTTAGAACGTGTATTAATTAGCAAGTATAAAAAAGGTGATTGAAAAAATAATATTGAATTAAATTTGAAATGTATGAAATTTACAAAGCCGAAAAACCATAGCTGATGAAAGATAAAAGNAAAATTAAACAGGAATTATAAAACTAGTATAAAATATTTGAAAAAAAAAATTATACACACATACATACAAGCATATATTTAAAAACTTAGAATATCGTTTAGAACGTGTATTAATTAGCAAGTATAAAAAAGGTGATTGAAAAAATAATATTGAATTAAATTTTAAATGTATGAAATTTACAAAGCCGAAAAACCGTAGCTGATGAAAGATAAAAATAAACTAAAAACATATAACAGTCATAATATTCTCGTATACAACAAAGTGTTAGAAAAAAGAGACAAATTAAAGTACAGGAAATTATGAAACATGAATTGATTTAATAGAATGTAAACACACACTCACTTGCATACAAACATACACACACATACGTAAATGCGGTACAATTAAAGGCGAAACTTTCGTGACGCATTTATTGAACCAAGAGGTGCGTCGCTTTCAGTTTTTTTTTCAGAAAACTTAAGGAGCCACAGTTTATTATGCGCTTTAAAGTTGAGCTGAACGCCATATTTGCAATAATCGCAGGTTGCCTAGTCAATCACACATACATACACACTAGATGAAAATACAATGCAATAGGAGGAGAAAAACAACCAAAAATGCAGTGTTGTAGTTGAAGTAGAGGACACCAATCATGCGAGTTCATTTTTCGTGATTTAGCAGAATTGTTAGAATTTTTTATTTTTTTATATTTTGGAATGCAGCTGTTTAAGGGTTAAGGTGTATTTTCATGTAAAATAAAAAATTTGAATTAAATAAAAAAACATTTTAAAATTTTTATAGCAAATTATGGCACTCCATCCGTGTTAATGAAGGTACATTTTGTGTGTTTCCATTCATTTAAAAACTTTATAGTGCAAGTATTCTTTAATACAACAAAATCTTGGCATGCCGCAGTCGAAATAAGCCACATACAAAATAACTGTATTCAAAATTAAAATCGTTACGGTTTACAAACTCAAAACCAATTAAAGGTAGTCTAAAAGAACGTTTACATNTCACTTGCATACAAACATACACACACATACGTAAATGCGGTACAATTAAAGGCGAAACTTTCGTGACGCATTTATTGAACCAAGAGGTGCGTCGCTTTCAGTTTTTTTTTCAGAAAACTTAAGGAGCCACAGTTTATTATGCGCTTTAAAGTTGAGCTGAACGCCATATTTGCAATAATCGCAGGTTGCCTAGTCAATCACACATACATACACACTAGATGAAAATACAATGCAATAGGAGGAGAAAAACAACCAAAA